TAGTTTGATTTTTTATTCATCTAATTATTTCCTAATGTTGTTATTAGCCCATTTTAGTTCCACATAGCAGAATATTTCAGGTATTAATTTAAAAAAGCAAAATGTGATTTATTGGAGGGGTATAGCTTCAGGTTTTACAACAGTTTACCTAAATATTCTATTTTTGCAAATTTCAAAGTAACCGTTTAAGAAAATAACAGGCTGAAACATTTTTTTAATGTCTTCATTTTTTCTTTAATTTTTTGTAACTCTCATTAATGGAAGAAATTTTTGAAATGAAAGAAGAATTAAGAATTTTAGTCTTAATGGGATCAACCTATTTCCAATTCTACAAGCATAACTTTACAAGAATAGAATAACTATCTGTGTAATATTTTAACTGAATAGTTTCACATAATAAATATTCAGGAAAGGAATCAGCATTGTATGATAATTGCTGAGGGGAAAAATGACAATTTTTGCAGATGAAAGATCAATATTAACATTCATGAGTGCATCACAATGAAGACAAAGATTTAATATCTTGTGGAAACAATGGAATAATTGAACCAATCAGATACAGTACTATTAAATAACTAAAAATAGCGCATAGGTATACCTCTTCAATAACACATATTAATTCCTTCTGGATATATGAACACACCATAGGATGGTATAGACTGATAGATAGTTAACAGGCCTCACAAAAAATGTCTAAGCCAGCAAGGAAGAAGTTGAAATGGCTAAAATACGCATGGAAATCACAAAGACAGATATTGAACTACTACTTTATTAAGGGTGATAAGCAGTGGTGGGATTCAAATATGTGAACAACTGGTTCTCTGAATGGATGCCGCTTCTGGAAGTCCATTCTGGGCCTGGGCACCAAAAAATTAGCTACCGGTTCTGCCGAAATGGTGCGAACTGACTGAATCCCACCACTGGTGATAAGCAGGAATGCTAGAAGTCTCCAATCTACAAATAGCAGTTTAGTGCTTCATTTTAAAAGACATATAGGAATAAGTGAAATGTCATGGAACCAAGGAGAGAACGGGAGAGGATAAACTGCGGAAATTGTTCTTGGTTATAATAAAGAGGACACCTGAAAGAGGAAGAGTCAACAGAACTGCTTCAAAAACAATTTAGAGTCTGTAAATCCCCAGAATACTCAAGGACATCTTTAAATGGAGTATGAAAACAGGGAGGCATCAAAAAAAGAAAGTGCTGTAGTATTGTAGCTTCAATTAATCTGAGAAAGTCTGAAGAAATGTGTCACAATAAAGAAGTTGAAAATTTGAGTACTTGGTAGATGGGAAATGTTTGTGAACTTAATGATAACTGCTATCAAGGCTGTAATGGATGCTGTGATTCTTGCTGATTTGAATGTAAAGAGATCACTGCATTGATGATGATGATGATAATTACATGCATGAAGTCGTCATCTCTTAACAATTATAAAGATACATTTTCTCTATGTTAATCTGTCCCCTAATCAGCAATTCCAGTGGTGCACCTACTGCCACTGTAACTGAGTGCATCCACCTTGCTCTTCTTCTCTTCCCTTCCACCTTTCTCAGCATTATTTCCTTTCCCAGAGGACTTTGTGTGATATCATTGCATTTCAAGTCTAATTTGTATCTAAACAAAAATTTACCAAGCAAATGCAGCACAACATAATTGACACAGAAAGAAAAACCTGCATAAAATTAGTATATTTGTTTAAATAGGTTTTGAATAATAAAAGAGTCAGATGTATTCATAATATTGAGGAGGAGCAGACCAAACCACATGTGGGACAGCACTGGTGGGACAGCACAGGTGGACTAAACACGGTTCTGCTTTTGTGGAGCCACCAACTGCAGCAAAAAGAGAAACCAGTGAATGGATCAAGGAGAGGAAATGATCAGCCACAAGTTTGGTATAATCTCCTTGCAAAGAAATAGTAAAACAGCTGTAAAAGAGCGGGACAAGAAGGAGGAAATAACTGCCTAAGCCACATTTCAGCACCTTCAAGGAAACTCTGCATTTATCTGCTTCCTCTCTTAACTACTTTAGAAAGTTACTTGTTATTGTTTTTTTAGACGTTAAGACCCTTCCAAAGAGCAAGTTTTATTACGGCAGGAAAACCTCCTTCTGCCCTGGATGAAATAATTCTTTGTAAATTTAAGGATTAAAATAATAACTTTCCAACTTTTAAGTTGGAAAACAGCAAAAGGGGGACTAGAATATTGATTGTGGAAACCTAAAAGGCTAGATAGACTTGAAAGAGCATTTCCTGTGAGGTGTTTAAAATGTTATAAAAAATGTATTAAGATTATGGATTAAGGATTTCTTATAATCCTCCAGTGGGAAAGTTTTGTTGATTGGAAAACAAATAGCTAAGAGAGGACTTTGAAAGAGAACTAAAGAGAACCAGAAAGAGCAAGGGATTACAAAAATCACAATAGAGTAAATTCAGGTAGAAAGTAGTCTGCAGATGAGAAAAAGAGCTACAATTTCTAGCATAGTTAATAAATAATAAAAAAGGTTTTCTTATGACAATAAAAATGCTACCTAGTTTTTTTTTTTTAATTGATCAGTTGGATCAGAAGAAGAGATACTGAGGATACATATTTTATACAGTAATTACTAGTTAAAATGGAGACTGGGGATAAATATAAAAAAGAGATTAGGAATAAATTAATACTCCTCAGAGTGAAAGTATGAGTGTTGGCTAAATGATGGAAGGGGAGGTTCCTCTTCAGAAATAAGTTGTTCCAGTTGGATATTTTGCACAGTAACATATCAGGACGAATATTTGTCTTATAAGGATGCTGGTTAATGGACAGGTGTCATACCAATTTTGTTGCCAGATCTCACCAAGAGCTGGCACTGATGACCCAAAGTTGGAATATTGTTTCTCTGCCTCACTAAGAGGCAGAGAAACTATAGCATGCCCAATTTTACTGACTATAGCATGCCCAATTTTACTGACACCTGCCTCTTCTGTAAAACAATGCTTTCCCAAGGGAAAAACCTATGTAAGAACCAGACGCCTGATTCTGTTTATTGGTGTCCACTGGCTGCTCGCTCTCTCTCTTCCATCCAAGCGACTTCCACAAGCAGGATTTATCCATAGCATGGAAAGTTGTAATAATGGACAATGGATCCCTTTAACCTTTGATTAGCAAGGGTGAATGAGTACCCCAAGTGCTCCTTCAAACCTGATACTTCACTTAGTTCATCCATCACTGCAGCCACAATGCCTAAGCAATACCAGCAGAAAAGTGAGCATTCCAATTGTAACATGCAAGATAATCCTTTTTTTAATGGACTAACTGGGAGAGAAAAGGGTGTGCCATTCCCCAAAGTTTGATAAATCAAAGAGAACTTCACCATGATAATGAAAATGACACAAATTACAAAATTTAAGTAATAACATAAACTGAGGCAAATTACAATGGGTAATGATGTCATTATGCAAATTAAGTAATTTGTCTCATTTACATAATGACATCATTATGCAAATGGCATAAATTGCAACAAAATATAGTCCATTGCATATGAAGTAAGTGATCTGTGAAAATTTCACTGCATTATCTTTTCTATGTATTTTTTGTTCTGAATGTAGGATCTGTTTTCTTTTGTATATAAATTGTCACTGTGGGTCCTCAATAGGCAGTGGAATCACAACAGAACAATTAAAACAATTAAAAATAATTCCGCAGAAAATTTAAAAAAACGCTTCTCTTACCATGCCTGCAGTTTTCATTTCCATTTCAAAAGTAAAAAAAAATATATCAGTGGTTGTTACTGTAATGAAAATCTCACATATGGAATTATGACAGTAGAATCTTTAAACACTGGAGGGTTGCATTCCACACTAGACATTTGATGAAACCAATCTCTCCTAATTTTTCATTCCAACTAGCATTAAAGGAAATGGATGTGAAACTGTATGCATTAGTTCACTGTCTAGGAGTAGGCAAATCTTCCAAGTTTTCTTTTTCCCCTTAATAATTTTAATGTATATTTGATTTTCACATAATTTTGCATTTCTTTTTAATCCTCATAATTAAACTAACACATTTTTATACATATTTTCTTAACAAATGCATTTTCCCACCCACTTCTCACTAATAAAAACACTGTTATAAACAACTTTGTCTAATATATATAATTTCAGAATTATAAATATGTAAGATTTAGAATAACTTTTATACTGGCACTAATGAAACTCTCACACACTGTCATCCCGCATTCTACTAACTATTGATATTTTTATGATTTCAACACAACCCATGCAACTACATATGGTTGCAATTTTAAAATGTATTCTTGAAATCATGCACAATATATTTTATTGTAAATGCAGGAAGCAATTTATATAGTACAATTATTAAATCTAGTCTTCAAATGTAAATGCTAAAGCAAATAACAAACTAACAATAATTAAGTGTCCGTCAAAGTTTGAGCTTTAATCCTAATTTCATAGAAACCTTTAACATTATTTTTAAAATTTTGTCCCTTCTTTCATAAAGAAATATAATTTGTTACTTCCCTCAGCTCTAATAACAGCACAAATCTGTATCGTAATTTAAGTTGGAGATAAATATACCCATATTGAATGAAACCAGTTATGCCCAATTCTTCAGGATGGCAAAGCAGTACAGAACTAGAATAGGCAATTAGAAGGAATTGCAATGGCTACACTCAGCTATCTGATTTGACAGCAGATTGAAGATAACATACTGGATGGCACATTATCAAAGCTTTCTATATGTACTATAGACATAGAATCATAGACTTGGAAGAGATCTCAGAAGTTATCAAACTCAATGGAGAATCTGCTAAAGCAGACATGTGAAACTCGCGACATCACGTGACGTCGCGCAACATATCGGAGCTTTTTTGCCATTGCCAGCAATGGGGTGGGCGCGGCTCCAGTATGATGAAACCGGCCTGCGGGCCAGCAGTTTGACACCCCTGTGCTAAAGCAATTCACAGATTATTCTGAAGTTCTCCATTGAAGAAGTACATACTGTTTCATGAACCACCTTATTCCACTGGTTGACAGCTTTTACCATCAAGAAAATCTTACTTATATTTAATCTTTCAATCAACTGCTTATGTCTCTGCCTTCTGATGCAATGACCTACTTCCTCTTTATGATAACCATATCTGAATACTGTTATACCATCTTCCTTTAGTCTTTTCTTCTATAAGTTCAATATTCCACATTCATCTGAAAGTTCCTCATAGGACAAGGTTTCCAATTTCTTTAACATCCAGCCCATATTTTACCATTTTATTAATGAAGATATCATGAGAAACTTTGTTAAATGCTTTGCTAAGATCAACATATGGTATTCCTCGGTCATACTAATTAGTATCTGTTGAAAAAGGAGATAAGTCAGTTTTTATTGTTACTGCTGCTGGCTGTTAATTACTACATTCTGATCCAAGTACTCAAAATACCCTATTTAGTAATCTCTTCAAAGACCTTGCCAATATAAATGAGAGGCTGATAGATTGGCAATTTTTGGGGTCTTCCTTCTCCTCTCCCTTTTGAAAATAAGGAGACTTTTTTTCATAATCTTTTGAAACCTCGTCAGTTCTTCAGAACTTCAAAGTTCTCAAGTTTTACATGTTCTGCAATCAGACTCTACAAGAACACAATTTATCTGGTATTGAGACTTGAATTTATTTAAATTAGCTAAATGGTAACAATGCCATTAGGGACATACAATATTGAAGGGGCGTTGTCTTACCTGAACGCCTTTTCTCAGTACGGAGATGGAGAATTCACACATGGGTTTTCATTGGATGCCTGCTCTTGAGACCAAGTAGTCAAACTTGACACGCCCCCTCTTGCTGGCCAGTCTTTAACGAGGGCGAAGTGACTGAAGATGGACGAGGTGTTGGCTCTCAGACCCCTACAATGGCCTGTCTNGTACTGAGAAAAGGCGTTCAGGTAAGACAACGCCCCTTCTCCAGTACGGGAGATGGAGAATTCACACATGGGACATACCAAAGCTCCATAGTCCCAATGGGTGGGAAACATAGGAGCCCTAATTAGAGTCTCCAGCAATCACCTGCTGAAGAACCCTTCTTCCAAAGGAAGCATCTGCCGCAGCAAAACGGTCAATTTTGTAATGACGTACAAACGGGGAAGGCGACGACCAAGTCGCAGCCCTACAAATCTCGTCAATGGACGCCTGGGTAGACCATGCCGCAGAAGTCGCAGCGCTACGAGTGGAATGTGCAGTAATGCGTCTAGGAGCCGGCAGGGATGAAGACTGGTACGCCTCCGCAATACAGGCCCTGATCCACCTGCCTATAGTACCAGAGGAAACCTTCTGGCCCAAAGAGGCCGGACGGTAGGAAACAAATAGGGCCTCTGACCTACGAAAAGGTTCCGTACGTTTAATATAACGCCGCAACGCCCTATGGACGTCTAGTGTGTGCCACTGCCGCTCCAAGTCGTGGGAAGGATTGGGGCAAAAATTGGGCAAGACGACTTCCTGTGTCCTGTGGAAAAGCGAATTAACTTTGGGAACAAACGTGGGATCTAGGCGAAGGACCACTCTATCGCTATGAAAAATACAAAGGTCACTTCTGACCGATAAAGCGGCCAACTCAGAGATGCATCTGGCCGTGATCACTATCAAGAACGCAACCTTAAGCGAGAGGTTCCGCAATGGAACTGTCCTTATTGGCTCGAAGGGAGGCTTTGTAAGAGCCCGAAGTACAAGCGGTAACTCCCAAGAAGGGTATCTGTGTACCACGGGCGGTCTAGTGTTACAGGCGCCCTTAAGAAAAGCCCGAATCCTGGGATGGTGTGCCAGAGGAACTGAATCTGCACAGGTAAGTAATGTGGAGAAGGCAGCCACCTGTCTGCGTATGGTCGCAGGGGCGAGGCCTTTGTCCAAACCATCTAAAAGATAGTCCACTATCTGAGGGATAGAAAGGTTGCATATGTCCAGTTGACGACTCCGGCACCAAAGGCAAAAATTCTTCCAAGTAGAATCATAAATGCGATTGGTCGCCGGACGTCGGGAAGCTTGAATCATGGAAATGGCACGAGCGGAAAATAGTTCTTGGGCCATTATGCTGCGCTCAAGCGCCAAACGGTCAGTTGTAACCATTGGGGTTCCGGATGTTGAAGGGACCCCTGGTGCAACGACACCTGGTGAGGGGGAATCTTCCACGGAGGGCATCTGGGGAGTGTCATCAAATCGGCAAACCATGGCCTCTGAGGCCAATACGGTGCCACCAGGATCACCTCCGCCCGTTCCCGAAGAATCTTGCGTATGGTCGCCGGTATGAGGGGTAGCGGAGGGAAAGCGTAAAGCAGGCCCTGCGGCCATGGACTCCTCAGGGCGTCCGTACCCTCCGCTCCTGGAAGGAGATAGCGGGAATAGTACCTGGGGAGTTGAGCGTTGCTTGCTGATGCAAACAGGTCGAGGGCCGGTCGCCCGAAACGGTGAGATATTTCGGAGAACAGGTCCGGGTGTAGACCCCACTCCGAGGGGTCCACTGTGACGCGACTCAGCAGGTCTGCTTGTTTGTTGTTGACCCCTGAGATGTGCTCGGCCTTGATGGAGGCTAGGTTGAGTTCCGCCCAGGAAATCAGGAGCCGTGGCTCGGACATCAATGACCTGGACCTGATGCCCCCGTCGGTTGACATGTGCTTTGGACGCCACGTTGTCCGTGAGGACCAGAACGTGACGACCTTTGATTGTATGCCTGAATTGGCGTAGAGCCAGGTGTATGGCCCTGAGCTCCAGCCAATTTATGTTGTGTCTCAAGTCTGTGCGTGACCAGCGGCCTTGCACAAACTGAGACTGTAGATGGGCCCCCCATCCGAACAGACTGGCATCCGTAGTGATGGTGATGCGGTCCGGTTCCTTGAAGGGTGACCCCTTGTTTATAGCCCGCGAGAACCACCAGCAGAGCATTTTGCGAACGTGAACCGGAACTCTGACCTGACGACTGGATGCACTGGTGTTTGTGCGTTGAAACGGGAGTAGGAACCACTGTAGATCCCAATGCTAAGAAGTTTAAAGGAGGGAACCAAATTAATATTTAGGAATTTGAAAAGGGATTTTTAAGGGAAAAGGAGAATTCACCAAAGGCTTTCTAAACTGCTATTGACTGAGAGCCAAACCAGACACGTCGTCAAGAGCTGAGACCAAGTTAAAGACTGGCCAGCAAGAGGGGGCGTGTCAAGTTTGACTAGTTGGTCTCAAGAACAGGCATCCAATGAAAACCCATGTGTGAATTCTCCATCTCCCGTACTGGAGAACACCAACATCTCTCTGTTATCAGCTACTACAATCATTTGTAATAAATGTCTAAGCCTGAAGTGAAAATCAATGAGCTTTCTTATGCCAAGTATAATTAAATGTATTTCTCTTCCAGAAATTATATATCCATAAAAGTGTAAATAAAGGTAACTAATAAATAATATCATTTTAACTAATTTTAAATGCTTTCACTTTATTTAAATAAGAAACCAGACTGCCCTCAGCCTTCTTTACACTCTACATGTATACTGATCCTACAAAAGAATAATTTCTTCCAACCCTAACCCTAACCCTACCATAAAAAGATTTCTTGCCAATGACACTATTCATGTCTTCTACTGATCTGATATCCTCTTTATTAGCTACTTATGAGACAGATTACATCAGAAATTATTCCCATTAACATTACTGTAGAGGAACAGTATAGCTTCCAATTTCAATCTTATGGTTAAGACAGATGAACTATTATTATGCAAATTTGATAGATGCCTTCAGGGACTACATCAAGATTTATAAAACTGGAGAGGACTGAACCTAATAAAGGTTAGGCACTTGGATCATTATTTTTCCAAGTTCTAATTTTCAATCCGGCCCATATAGTTCTGCAAATTCATTACTAGAATATTTGATATCTTTATCTGAAATAACATATGTTGAAACTACTTTCTTAGATATCTCTGAAAAAAAGACTGCTAAATGTTCCAAATTTGAAGTTTTCTGTTAAAGAGAATACTTCAGTATGTTAAACCATACAACCAAACCTATAAGCAATAATAGAAAAATATGTATAAATAACTGCATAAAAACTCACGTGAATTCATAACTATTTCAAAAATATCTTTTTATGTTTATTTTCACCCTTTGGAACAAAGGGTTCAGCTTGGAGCCTCAAATTATAACTAGCTTTCAATTTTGCCCAGTATATATATATATTTTTCCTTCAGGAAAAGTTGCAAAAATCATTTAGGATATGAGGCATTAACTGAATGACTAATTTAAATTCATAAACTAAAAGAGTAAATTGCGTCATTTAAAAAAAATAATGACCAATGTATAAATGAAATATTTTGTTCCATCCATCCATCTATCTATCAATCATCTACATTAATCAATGTGTCAGCCCTCCCAGGTAAGCCAGATAGGAAACACAATTAGATGAGCTAATTCTATATTATTGTAAGATTACACTCACATAATCTTGTAAGTAAAAAATACAAATATTCCACTTGCACTTTTAACTGCCTGATCGACTAAGGTGTGTCCTTCCTAAGTGTCTTTCTCTAACCATTACATCACTGGGGACTCCCCCTTCCCACTTTTTTTAATATAAAATGTGAATGCTATATTTATAAATCTTATAAATCTGGATGACCACTTTTGGCTTCCTATTTTAATTTGTAAAAAAAAAAAGATTAGAATCTTTCAATTGCAAGAATCTTTTAGTGGTCTGAATAGAAAACAAGCACATAATTCAAAACATGAAGTTGGAGGAGTCTGTACAAAGTATTTTTTATGTTGGGTGACAAAGGTCACTATGTGGAATACTTAAGGCTAATCATGATTGAGTGATGTGCTATCTGATAATGTGGAGTTTTTACTTTGGGTTCTTGTCCAACCAAGTGTTTATTGTGGTAAAAGAGCACCATCTCAAAGGCTTTCAGAATTAGGTGATTTCAAAATTGGGCTTTCAAAAGTGCTTTATCTCCTGCTCTGAAAAGTGCAAGCAACTATAATAAACCCAGCAAAAGACCTGTCAAAGGAATGCCATTTATTAATAGTGAACTTTAGGAAGAAAAATGTGACTTCCATACTGATCCAAACTAAATCAAAACTAATCTTCCTTTAAGAAAAAAAGAATATCACAAAGCTTACAGAGAATAGAATACAGTAAGGATTAATCAAGGCTAATCCACAATATTATAAGAATGTGATCCGCTCCAAACTCATCAATGTCATCAGTTTGAACATACCTTTAAAACTCAGCTTTCCTGTCACAAGATTAACATTTGACAGGGTATTTTCCTTCTTTTCCTTCTGGAATTACAGTGAATAAAGCAGCTTTATTTTAACAGATATATAAGAAAAAGTTTAAACGGATGAATAAAGGGAAAAAGAGGTAGTTTTTCCTATACCAGTTTTTCAAAACATTTTCTGCATAAAACTTAAAATTCACGATAATTCTAACTGCTCTAGAAATGAGAAAAGAGAAATTATAAAAGTTCATTTTATTTCAAATGTGGAAACAGAATATTTTATCACATAAAGAATTACAAACATTGCCAAGCATGAAAATTGTTGAGAAACAATCCTGATCTCTACCACGTCAATACCTATAACAGTGGTGGCGAACCTATGGCACGGGTGCCAAAGGCGGCACTCAGAGCCCTCTCTGCGGGCACGCATACCATCGCCCCAGTCCTAGGCCTTCAGCTGGGTTTTATAAAACCTTTTCGCTTTAGGCCTCCGCCACCATGTAAAAAAAAAAAAGGTTCAATCTATCAGCCAATTTCAACTTCTCGCGGGAAAAAAAAGATCTTGCAAAGTTGGAATTGATTGATTGAACTTTTTAGTTCCACCCAGTCTGCTGTTACCACCGCAGCCACACCCACCCAATGGGCCACACCCACCCAATGGGCCACACCCACCCGGCACCCGACGATACATAAGAGGGTTTTGGGTTGCAGTTTGGGCACTCGGTCTCTAAAAGGTTTGCCATCACTGACCTATAAGAAGACAATTACTTTCTTCCTATATGTAGCCACGGAAAAAGAGCGCTGTTAATTTTCTAAGTTACAGTTTAGCACGGCTGAAATCCTTCAAAAAAGCTCTATCAGAATACGAATGCTTCCTTTCAAATTACTTTTCAGCCACATATATTTCCTGGCTAGCTCTAACTTCTGAATATTTTCAGAAATACAAAAGGAATTTTCACTTGCCTTGAATGAGAGAAGGAGGAGGAAGAGGAGGACATTACTTAATCCATGTGACAAAACAGGTTTAGTGGTATATATTATCATTAGATAATATTTTAGATATGTTTCTGAACAATATGAAAGAAGATAAATCTATAAATCCAAATACCGGTACTCTAAAGTAGAAGGATTGATATGTGTCTGATTATTTCATGAGGATCTAAATTCTTTACTTGTACATTCTTTTAAAAATACTCTTTAAAGCCCATCATTAACATTTGAAGTTTAAATCAAGTTTTGCTACCTGCTTTAAAATTTATTAATAATTAAAATAGGAATAAAAACACACTGCATTCATCGTTCACAGATATGTGCTTGAGAATTAATTAGGTAGCATTTTACACAAATGCCAGGAAAAGTATATTTTGGATCAGTTGATTAATTAAAGATTGACTTCCTGAAGGATTAATTACCAATGGATTTTTATGGTTGGCATCGAGCTTTGGTAGATATGGCAGAAACAAATACAGAATTTAAATATTGATTTCATGTCAGAAATACAATGAATACATTTGTGATTTGGGTAATTTCAGAAAACAAATATAATTAGAAGCACTGTCAAAAAACCTTTTCAGAGCCATTAGAGCCTGATTATTTACCAAAAAGCAGCTTTTACTGATTTTAACATAATTTGTTTTATTCGTGATAGCCCACTATAAGATCTATGGATGACACAGTAGTTAGAGATCTTAATAAATAAACAAGGAATTCATTTTATGCATGAATGCTAAAACTGCAAAGAAACCATAAAGCATGTTTCCCAAGTCCCCATGAGTGCTTTGCTAATTGGAGAGGGTAAATCATTTCTCTGATGGCCTGCAATGATTCACCAAAAGGCAGTGGAGGAACTCTTATCCTTGGCTGCCAGAACTAATTGCTGCCAGGATGCACACCATCCCTTTTCATTGAGCTCAGAAGAACCATATATTATTTCTTCAATTCCACTAAATTAGCAAGGGACAAATCAGGAGGTCTTTTTGATATAAACCAAAATATGCCAACAATTCATACACAGCTATGATACAATCCTGATAAAACCAATCTTTGGACCTGATATTAATACGGTGATATGTCTAGTTTGTCCAATCT